GTTACTGAGCTGACATCGCCGTGTAAATTAGTTGTATAAAACACCAAAATGTATTAAAATATTTTTGTATAAATATATCAGAACTGAAAACATTATTTGTTGTACCCGTCGGATGTCTGGACYCAAAARTCTCAAATCGGATTAAATATTTTATTTTTAAAAGTATCTATCACTCAAATGTCTCTAATCAGTACTAATATAAGTTTATGTTATATCTATATTTATATACATTTAATCATCAAAGGTTAAATTTTACATTTAGGTTAAAAATTAAAATTAAGACCAATTTGTAGGCAAATAATAACCTATTTCAGAAAGTACAAAACATATTATGTACCTATTATACCTACTATGACTACACGCCTACACTCCACTGCAGTATGTCAACAACTGCATATTTTCATTATTAACTTCAAGATTACCCAATAGCCTCCCAAAGTCTTAGCCGATAGCGATTTTCGTAGGCTCGTAGCACTCGTAGTAGGCGTGATGTCGGGTGGAGACCAACGGTTGTGGCGTTTGGTGGTCGGTGGAGGAGATGGGGTGGGGGTCAGAGTTGGCAAGACGACGAGGAAGCGTAAATATCCTGTGAGTATAGTGCGTGCGTAAGACGCAGCGTGTCGTCGTCGAAAATCTTCTTTTATTGTCGGAAACCCGGCAGGGGGTCAGAAACCATTGAGAAAAACGAAAACTTCCAGCTAGCTACATGCACACAAAATGTATACGTATATATATATGTATAGTAAATACATTCGGAGTGTCACGTCCGGAGTTTCCTATAGCGAAAGCCCGAGGCTTTTCAGCGCTTGAGCCACTGCAAAACTCGTTGTGAGGATATTCTATAMTCGTGAAAGGTTTCGGACCATGCATAATTTTTCGCCGTGATTTAGGTACACGTATGTACTATGCATTTTTATATCCGTTTATTAATATATGTGTATAAAATATAACATATATATTATATATTCTGCCACCTTTTGGCGTATCTCGATCGATTCATATCAAGTTTGTCCGGGTTATGTTATACTATATACTCTGYAGTCGGCCGTGACCACCGCCGTTACTGCAACCACAACTACAGACATCGTGGGATAAAGTTTAAGTCCACGTATTACATGATACAATTTACGATGTTATATATTATATACATATTATATTCGTGTATAAATTCCCTCCAAAAACCATAAAAAATTGCCTCGACAGCGCTGTTCTCAGACAAATTAAAATTTTTGGACATAAATGTCTCTTCGCTTCCCTCACACYATTCGCTAATTGATTGTTTTAAGTTAAACTTAAACAGTCTAATAGGAAGAAATATGGCTTAAAATTTTATTTGAATWATTGTTTATCGAATAACATATGTTTTTACCATGGATCTTACCTATACATTACACAAACATCCGATTAAAAATTAAGTAGGTAAATATTTACTAATAACTATATGTTTATTCACCGGAGCGAACTATATTCATTTGTAAGCCTTTATCTGCGAAGGTATGATAAACAAATAATTATTTACTTGCATAATAGAACTTATTTAGTTGGTTTTTTCGTGATCATATTCAAAAAAATATGTATATTATATATATATATATATATATTTATATTGTAAATTAAAAGTTTTTTTACACATGAATACATAATCCAAAAAAATCCTATAAACATTGTATGTAATATTATTTTGATATAATTTTTTTTTTATTCGAGGAAAGATACCTCATTAATTCYGAACAATTCATAATAGTTTTATCATGTTATATCCTTTGCAAATCTTAAAACTACATCGTTCTAACCAATATACTCATTGCAACTTCAGTCTCCTTACTTACAAGAGGGATAATTATGATTTTTTTATTCGATTTCTAATAATGATRAGCATAATAATTATATAATGTTATTAGCTACCCTTTACGAAGCACAAACGAACGTGTTCACTACTTTAATATTTGGACAAAGTGACTATATTACATGTTACTATTTTTAGGGCAATTTCGATTGATGGACATTTACGAGTATAACTTATTTAATATTATATCACTATTTCAATAAAGCGTAAAAAGAAGTTTTTGTCTTTCTGACATACATTAACTCATATTGATTTTCCATCAATAAAATGTTGAAAATATAAATGGGTTYTTTGATAGGGTGTACTCATATTTTTATAAAACTAATGCGGCCCAGAGCTAATGGTTTTCTTAGCGCCAACCAACTGCAACTCGACGCGCAATCGTATATCTTACCACGACGAGCTTGTCCGTCGGATTGGTCGATTCGTTGGTTCCGTGTTATAATATATGTTGTTGTGGAAAACGATTGGAGTGATTGGAGTGAGGTGCTTGTATTTTTATGTGCATACGTAAGTATACGTCAACGGAATAGGTATAATAAGAAATGAAATTGTTTTAAGCTAAAAGCGTCGGCGTTTTACGATCAAACATTTTTTTTTTTGTTTTATTATTATTGGATTGATATATAAACTGTTTATCGGGACAGAAAACTTGATACTCAGTATTCCCAGATGGTGACGTCACTGTAAGGAAATACACGATTTAAATACAATAAACTAAATATAATWWWAAAAAAACAAATACTTATCCGATGCAACAGTTGTGGGAAATCAGGCAGTTTGATGATTTCAAACAAATATGTATAAAATAAAGTGTAGATACAGTTTGTCTCTRACCAATAACAAAATAATTCAAGTAAAAGATATATTGAGAATATCTTCTTATTGCGTGAATATTAGTTTAATAAAACACGAATGTTATAAATTATAATTGAACTCTAAAACTATCCAAACATAAAGATCTAAGAAAAACACTCACTATCGAGTGCTTATAATGAGATCTTTTTGTGATAAGCACACTTGTGAAAATTTCAAAATATAAATTAATAGAAAACAGACCACGTCGAAGGCAACAAATGATAGAARCTCGTTGATTTTAATATGCCTTTGTTTTATTTAAGTAGGGTTATATATTACACATTTAAACGTTATTGGTATTTTGCTGTAGTCTGTAATATTATCTTTTTGATGTTTTCAAGTCTGACTAGTAATTTAATACTTAACTGTTTTTTAGAAAATACGTCTTAAGCGAATTATTTTAAATTAAAAAAAAACAACAGCAACATATAATTTTAAGTTATGTGCAAGAAAGTTGTTGGTATAACAATATGTTTTTACACCCCTATCCTTAAATGTTTAAATATATATATGTATATAAACATTTTATGGCGAAAAATAATCCAGCAATTTCAAGTATACTACGTATTGAATTAATTAGTATCTAATGAAAAAGTGATGTCCTATCTTATAAGAAAAGCATACAATTATAACGCAGGTATCATACCTTTTAGTAAATGTTATTAAAACCCAAAAACTTTTGACAATAAACGATTATTTTGGTTATATTATTTTTTTAAGCTTGCGATTATTGGTTGTCTGTGACCAATTATTTATTGTGAAACAAATAATGTAACTAAAGTGTATTGTTAATTTTTTTTTTTGACCTATGATTTTTAAAATTTTTATCTAATTTTTTCAACTGTAGTCCATGATCATTCAAAATTAAAACATTATCTAAATACATATATGGAAATCAGAATAATATTAGCGTTATAATCCTATCATTGTTTCTTACTCTCTCAGTCTTTGTAATAGAATGCAATTACTAAATAATCATCTTTAGTGAATTTTGTGAAAGATTATCTCATCAGTTATACATTTATGTACAATACCCTAAACTTAGCCATGTCTATTAATGATGCATCTACATTTTGGTCTACCTGGGTCTGGAGATTAMATCTTACTATTAATTTCAAAATAATGCGTTACAAGACAGTTCAAACCCAAAATAAWGAARCTGTTTAAGCTTATAAAAAAATGTATAAAAAGTACATAGATTGTGTGTAGTTTGCTATAGATGTTGATTCGTAATTATTATATTGTTAAATATTATTAAATTATCATATTATTATTATATTGTTTTTTTAACTTATTATTATCTCAGTATTTTCATTTGTAATATTTTACTTTCAAAATTAATAACATTCACAAAGTTTTAAYAATTTTATAATTTACTGCTATAACGTTAAATGTATCGTATTATCTAATCTTATTCCAGTTCTTATTATAGCTTTGCGTCTTCTCAAAATTTAATTTCTACACTGGGGATCATTTCGTGTCTATTGTGCTGATGCGATTAAGTATTAATTATCTTTAGTTGTCCATTTTGAGACAATAGTAAATATATATATATATATATATATCATCAAGCATTATATTTTTAAAATCTATCTAAATGTGCACGTACTAGTAATTTTGAAATAAATTCATCTTTATCTATGTATGGAACTTTTTTCCGTCATCGCATTTAACCATTTAGGAGTAAAAATCTTGTTCTACCTTGGCATTAAGGGTGGTATACTGTATAGGCACTGTAGGCATAAAAAGTTAAAAAATCACCATATTTTTCATAATAATTGGGAAACCCTAATAAAATAATATTTGCGAAAAAGAAGTTTTCGGAAAAATAAATTATTTTTTGTACTTAATTCAGAAAGAATATCCTTAATTTGAAATATTTATCAACAATTTATATAGGAATACAAACATTTTCTAGACATGAAATAATTTGTATTATTTTTTATTTATAGAAATTTTAAATGTTCTACTTTTTGAAGTTTATTTTTAATAAAATGTTTTATTCTTGATGAAAAAGTTTAATATATTATAAAATAAATAATCCTGAGAAGTAAAATATGCTACTCGTCTCCGATGTATGATCAGAATAATTATATACAACCGAGTAAGTTCCCTAGTGTTTTTTAATCATTGAATATAACCTAACCTAACATTTTAAGGTCATTGGGATAATTTAGAGTTTAGGAAAATTTTAAAAATTCTTACATRACGAATGCGTGAGTGATGTATAACGTGATGCATCTTATAAGGACTAAGCTGACTATACTTATATCGTTGTATGTGTTATTTGTTTTAGGTACAAACCTTGGTACCTTGAAGAATGTTCATCTACATTAGCCACCACTTATAGCTCTGGAACTCCAGGACACGATAAAAGCGTGGCCACCGTGGACATGGATGCCAAATTACGACCCGATCACATTTGCACTGTAGAACATACTGGTAATTTCGATTTTAAATTTTACGAAATTGGGGACTGCCACTAAATATTATCAGTATTTTAATTTATATCGAGAGACACCGTATACAAAGCAATGATACTATTGATATCATCATTCATTATTGTTATTAATTTGTTCTGCGCGTGACATGAAAAAAAAATTGTTCCTAATAGTCGTAAGTCATTTGCTCGTCGTATTTTGATTTCGCGACATTAAATTTTTTTTAATTAAATCGAAAAAAGGACTTAAACGTTAATTTGTATACGTWCAACTCGTACAAGTATTATACATGTACACGTATTATTTTGTTTTTATTTACTCAGTTTCCGTATATTAAACTCCTTATATAAAGTTTTATAACACATCTACAGGTTGTCGTCCCTGGAGCATTGACAAACTTTTGTACATCGTTTTAGATTAAACTTCTGTTATATTCTAATACGGTTGTGTGTTGTACTGTTGTTCAAAAAACCATATTTCAAGCATTCTTCCATTCTGAGTGTTTATCGTATCTGTAAATTGTTTGCGAATCAATTAACGTTTGTACGTAAAGTCTTATGTTATTTTGGGTGTCGACGCCTATAGTGCACGGCCGTAACGACTTTCGTACAAATTTCAAGAATTCATTCTAATTGTAACCAAATGCCTGAATAATATGCCATTATTGTTTATTTTCTTTAAACAATTTAAACTGTTAGTCCCATACATTTTCCATTTTTTTTTTCTACAACTTTTCTGCTTTCCGCATCTATAGGTTTGCGTTTTTATAATTACGTTTTAGCAAGTTTGAAATTATTTGATTTATTAACTACGTACAATTTCGTACATACCTAATAACATAATAACGCACGTTCACATAAATTATGCATCGTAAAAAAATAAATGTACTTTTAAAATTAAAATCTATCAAATTTAACATGAATAAACATTATTCACACATTTGTCAATGGATCATTTTCAGGAACATCTGCTTCGGCTCCACTAGCTGCTGGGCTTTGCGCGCTGACACTCGAAGCGAACCCTACATTGACGTGGCGTGATATGCAATACATTGTGGTGCTCACGTCCAAATCGGCACCCCTGGAACGAGAAGGAGGTTGGATATCCAACGGAGTGGGTCGTAAAGGTAAACGAAACTAAAGCAGTAATATAGTAAATATTAATACAATAGTGCAGTATACATATATACAATGATAATATTGAATATATATATGTATATACAGCTCATACACACACGCACAAGTACCTATACAATAAATGTAACATTTATTTTTGTGTTGGTAGTGGGAGGGCTAGATCGTGAAATATCACTGCCCCATTACCCACTCTATATTGGTCGATAGGAGAAATGGTAGAAAGTTATACTCTATGCTTGATCACTGGTCATTGGCGGCCTCCCGCGGCATGTGTACGTGACTGTCCGACAATGCACAATAAACTCATCGAAGAAAATTCTGTTTTCGAAATAATATTTCTTCGGCTTGAGCAATATAACCAACGCCCTTTTTGCTGATAAGTTAAAAAAAATATATATATATATATTTTCTGATTTTCAATATGACTTCAAAAATCGATTTATTATAAGTATTATTTTTTTTTCATTAATTTTGCTCGAACAATTTAACGTGCTATATAACTACGGCGGCGTAAACAAACAATTACGCCAGCCATCTCGTTTCCCAAACAAAAAACAATACGAAACAATTACATTTTTCTATGACTTTTATACCATTAGTATACATTATAGTTGGTTAATCCAATGAACTAAAAGGATTTATATGTATTAATTTAAGCATGACGTCATATATATAGTATAGTCGTATATGCTCTTCCAAAATTATTTTCTTTTTTTCAATAAAAATTTTATTGCAGCTTAAGTTTATTTTGAAAACAAAAATGTTTTCAAAACTGTGGTTTCATTTTATTTGTTTTCAAATTGTTAATTGTATTATATTTTATTTAGTAACATCTAATTTGGCAATGATCCAATTTCATTTAATAAACAATACACACTCAMATATTATATAATATATGTTTATTGTACTTTTAAACTGACACTGAATTTTCGTGTTTGATAGCTTTTGTAATGTTACAATAAATACAATTATAGATTTTTGGCAGMAACTAAATGTTAATGCTTACWATTATTATGTCGCTTTTGAGTTTTGATGAATTGCATGAGTAAAACCACGAWACTACTATTTCAAAAACAAAATATCTAAACTTTTTATTCAATTATGAACATTTCAACATTCATATTACATTTAATCAATATTTTTATCTGAAAATTGAAATGCAACTTCCGTTTAGTTTCATACAATTTATTTTGGCTCTTAACTTTTTACGAATTTGTATAACGTGTATAGTTAATTGAGCGTATACGAAAGCGTAAATKAAATTTCATGTATTTATTTTTAACATCGTTATTAATGGCAAATTATTTGATTTTTTGGAACTAATAAGAGTTAATAAAAATATAAACCAATACTTTTTAATTTTTTCAATCAGGTAGGTACTTAATTTTATTTTAGGTTAAATCAGTTGTAAATTTGTTATATATTTATWGTCACATCAACTTGTAAACACGTGTTTATAGATTAATTTTTCAATTAAATTAGTGCTATATAAACTAATTATAAGTAAAAAATAATACAGCCATTTCATTGCATAATTAATAATTTTAACCTAAATGTGTAATAACTTATTACTAGGTAATAAAGAGCTTTTTTAAGAATATAATTAATTAAAATTATCATTACTAACCAACTATACATTATAGTCATCACTCATCTGTCATAATAATTTAATTTTTTTAATCATCTTGCCTAATTAGGTTGGTATAGACAACAAATTCTGAAATACCTATATTCATAGTAGTCGTACTTAATATTATGCAACTACTATAAAATTGTAGWAAATGTTTGAGCCGTCATAATAATTCATGTATTTGAAATATGACATATTTTATAACTCAAACATATTTTTTTTAATCCGTATATAAATTAATGATTCTAAAAAGTAATATTCTATATCAAAAAACATCTATTTTGCTGTGAAATGTCCACATGAATAAACATTTCAAATTAATTAAAAACAAACAACTGTAAATTGAAGTACAACTAAACTCGTATAGCTATGTACCTAAACATATAGGTCAACCAATTACCTTTTATACTTTCATTTTATTAATTTAACCCTATTCTTCGCTATTGTAATGTTATTTACTGCAGCACACATAATATTTATAATGCGTATTGTGTGCAGTGCATCAATATATCGTCAACAATTATTATTCTTTGACAAATATAAATTTCAGATATTATTCTGTGTTTAAAAAATATTTAAAAGTATACATCGTTTTTTTTTTTGACATATTATAAATAATGAGGATACAAATATAGCCAAATTAAGGCATTCAATCGATCATCGCTTATCAATACCTACTTTTTTTCAAAGTGAATACTGGTTTATTATGTTAAGTGATTAAAGTGGGGCATGATGGAAAGGAGCGTATGCCCACCTCCTTATTATAGTTATTATTTTGCGTCTCCATTAGTCTAGAAATCCTAGGGACGGACGGTTTAAGAATATATATAAATACAAAGAATAGTAATTAATAACAATATCGTCCCAGATTATACGGAGCTATATTTTATTACGCTGATTACCTAAATTCAGTTTCGTGTAATATATTTAATATCCTGTCAGTGATGTAGGTATATCAAAATTTAAACGAGACAGGACGACCAATTATCAGTTGGAAGGAAGACATCATACTATATTAGACTAAAGATGCAATAACTCATGCAAATTGTAATGTTTAAATTATATATTTAAATGTAAGTACATGAATAGCAAAATATAAGTATAGGTATGTATTATTCTGGAAATTAAAAATGCTCATATCATTACAGTTAATAGAATTTTATTTGTTTGATTATTGGTTATATACAATTATTTTCAAGATATAAATATTTATATTTAAACGAAAAATATTTTTGATAAAAAAAATTATAATTTCATATGAATTTTTTATGAATAACTAAGAGGTAATCCAATAGGTTAATCCCTCTATTTTTTATCACGTCAGTTTTTAATTTTTATTAGTATATATTTTTTAGGTAAGTACAAAGTACTTACGTATTAATGATAAGTTATYGCAAAAATAGCATAAATTGATAATACTCTGCTATTATATATGTCTTTTCTATCGGATCTTTCCGCACATTATATTCTAATGAATAATTATTATGTCTACAAAAATAATTTTTGTGGCATGGGTAATTTACTGTTTAAAGTTTTTATGAGCTAGTCGATTAATTTCTTGGAAAAACTAAAAACTAAAACTCAATCAATTGTGTGATCATCTATTGAGAAAGTATAAATAAAACCTTATGACCCGGTTTTCTTTGTCAAAAGTCTGTATAGTCACCGAGAATAATATCTATGGATSGATAAATCTCTATTATTATTATTATAATTTCTCTGGTAGGGGTAGTAAATAAATGCTTCGTTATTTACTCTATTTTCAAGTTACATATATGCATATAAGGGCGTACTATTTCGTCAGATACATTTAATTTATTTGTATGTGGGTTACAGTTTCTGAGTAAATATGATTTACCTACCGTTTTATGAACAATGAACAAATACGTATTTATTTAAGAAATCACGTCTACTTTTCTACTCGTAGTTCTTTATTTATGTCAAGCTCATAATTGATTTTGAGACGGATGATTAATTTTCTCATTTCCACGCAGTGTAGATCGCTCAAACTCAAATCTATGTTATTCATACTTAGTAAAACTATGACCGTATACAAATCGAATATAAGGTATTAGATGCATTACATTCCAATAGATAATAATATTACTATAAATCTTTTTTTACCCGGTGAAAAACAATATGGAAATATTGAAATCGATTGCTATATACTCGTATACGTTTCAATTATTCGTTAAAAAAAAAAAAAAAAAATTAAAAAAAACCCGTATTATATGTTCAAACGGTTCGTGTCCATCACCACGATTTTACGGACGTTCAAAAACCCACAAACGTAAAATAAAAAATAAATTATATTTGGCTGCTGTGACGTTTTACGGGATCCGCAAACCGCGAACCGAATCGAACGCAATTGACCCTAAGCCTGTTCGTAACATGTTGGACGTGTGCGTCGCATACATTATATATTAATGATATAAATATATGTGTGTGTGTGTGTGTGTGTGTGTGTACATATACTTAAGTATATAGCCATATAGGTACCAGCACGCGGAAATTAACCGTATGAAGTAATTACTCGTGTATATTATTATGTATATTGTGCGACATAACTTTAATAGTAAATATATATTATAATGATGTATTATATTGTTTTTGTTTTTGCGTATTTTTATAGTGAGTCACAAATTCGGGTATGGTCTGATGGACGCTGGTGGGATGGTGTCATTGGCCGAACAGTGGACTACAGTGCCRCCGCAACACATATGCAAATCCCAAGAGATCGCCGAAGAAAGGTGGGTACCCTAAATAGTTTTTGGTTGATTTTTTTTGTATTTTTTTTTTCCTTATCGCTTTGTTGTTATTTGGTTCGACTCAATATTATAGACTATAGTAGGTACCTATGTAATATATTACGTATATATTATTATACAACTATTGTACTATATGTYTGTATACCAAGGTGATAAGAAATATAAATGGTAGCGACGGGCGAGTGTTTATAATAATATATTATATAAATTATATGTTGTATATTAGTTATACATGCTTGGGTGCGTGTGTAAAACGTGCACCAGTCACAAAAAATAATAATAATAAAACGGGGAAAACCAACTTGTTCTTGGGGCGTGCGATAAAATAAAAATAAATTTATTTACCCGAAGAAACTCGATGTATAATTTTARGTCCGTGACCGAACGGTGCACATATTATTAATATTAATATGATATTAAGGTATWATAATATTGTATACGAGCCTTTTGTGAGGTGCTTACGTGCGGTATATAATTATTACATGCTAACTTTTAATAATCTATTTGAATTATTATGATCGACCGCCGGTGCRCAAAGCTGCTGTAGGAGKAAATACTTTAATTGCTTTGTTTTCTGTACACAACTATAAGATGGTTTATATCATGGTTGTTGACATGCCACATGCGTATATAATGAACTCGTCGGGGATTCCGTTGTATCAACGGTCAATAAGACAAAGCGTTTGAGCTTTGATTTCCACTCAGTGTAGAGACAATATGTAAACATTGAAAACTACGTACCACAACTAAGGTTGCCACATCAGGAAATTACCAGAGAGTACATAAAACAATGGAATCGTTCCCGAAAATACAAACAATTAAAACGTATATTTTTCTAGTAATAAATAGGTACTTAATATAACTAACTAATTCTATACAGTTTTTAATTAAAATTATATTTAAATATATTTTTATTTTTTGTTGTTATAAAAGATTAACGGTACCTATTCATGTCGAAATAAATATAAGTCGCAGAAAATCAAGTAAATGTAAATCGTTTAAAATATATAATTATATACTCTAACTGTTGAAACTTGAAGTTGATGAGTAGTTATAAGAAAAATGCTATACAAAAAAAGTATTAGGCCTTGGGTCTGTTGTATTTAATATTTATGATAAAATAAAGCTTCTACATAATGTCTCCTTGCAACCACTGAATAACTATTATTAATAACTGTATAATATAACCTATGTGGGTATTAACACTTGCCAATTATCAATTAACTTTGATTTTTCGTCACGTTTTTATCTACATATTTTACTATCATTTATAATAAAGTTACATGCGCAATACTTATTTTATTCTTTTATAGTGGTGTTAAATAACATCGTTTAAAATGTTGATAAAAGTTTGAAATTCAATAGGTACCTAATAATACGACAGTGTACCAACAAAAATAYTTCTAAAATTGTCAAGCATTTTACAAAAGGGTACTTTTGTAAAATTACACGACCAATAAGGAATAAGATTTCAATGTACAGCCTAAAGCTGTTGTTAATATTTTACATATACATAATAAATTAATGTAGACAAGTATATTTTAAATAATTAAATGTCTATCTATAAATTACATACTCATTATATATGGAGATATTCGAAGTGCATAATGATAATTTTCACATTCAGCATATCATAGTTGATTTAACATAACYCGGTTTCAATTTAGTTTTTTAAGTTATTCTTTCATAAATAATTGTACACTATGAAATTCCAATGAAAATTATCTGTGCACAATTAATGCACAATATACGCATATAAGTATATTAAAACGATTTTTTTTTTGTGCTATTARTAGTTTTTAGTCTGTTTAAAGATAATTACAATTAAATATGTTTTTCTTTATTATATAAATTTAACCATGTATCGTATTTGATAAAAAAAAAAAAAACTGAAAAGTTTCTCTCCTGTATAGTAATTAGTAAGTGTCAAGACGTGTACCTCGCCATTTAAATTATCTATTAAATTTGAATTCAATGATAAATCACTATATGCGAATAACGATTCTAGGTGAAGACTGAAGACTGTATGCATTCAGCCTATATTTCTAAAGATGTTTTATGATATAGTTATATATTATTTAATATAATATTTCTAGCTATTTTATTAACTTAAACGTCAACACGGGTGGTAGAACGTTGTAAAAAGGTTCCTAGTAAAAAATAGTTTATACATTAATCTAGCGATAATTATTTAGTGTATTGATATTAATTGTATAGTTAATTTAATGTGMGTGTATAAAAGCTTTTTTGTTCCTCGTATACATTAAAAATGTCTAAGTACATGATCTGTTTGAAAAATRTTTTGTCATACCAACGGTAGCAGCTATTTATGCATATCACGGTGTTACTCCCAATATTTATGTTCAATTCGTTTTTCAATTTTAATGTTTGAGTTGTATTTGCATATACGGGCTTTTGTTATACTACCTAGCCTTTTTATACGCTGTCAAACCAAATATTTTAACCGTAATTTATTATTGATTAATAAACTCTAGCTGCTTCCAAATGTATTTGATCAGCATTGTAAGTAACACAAAAGGCTTAGAACCATTGGCCTATGTATATTAATCATGTTTACTCAAATATACCTATACTCACTTCTAGTCATCCACAGTCATCATCAAGAGCCAAATATGACGGAGCTCTTTAACAGAGTTCCTATTTAAACTTGAGTATAGGCTCTTTAAAAAAAAAAAAAAAAATGAAAACTAAATCCTATAGAGTCCTTTCGGATTAAACTGACTATTGGTTGTTCTAGATTTTATACCGAATATATAAAGATATCCTATGCATTCTGAATTGAATAAAAACAATTATATTCGTTTAAAAAAAATTATCGCCTTCGGTGTTTTTTTAAATAGGTACAATCATGTGTATGAAAACATCGTTAGGACAACAATAAAATCGTATTAGATATTTAGATGTAGATATTATTTTACGCATTAATAAAATGTATTAGTGGTTATGGTAGACGACATTTTATAGTTGGTATATTATATAATCATTATATACCATCGTTTCTCAACCTTTTTAGTGTCGCGACCCCTAAAACAGATGTAAAATATGGTCAATCACTTCGCGACACCCCCCTCCATCTATATAAGGTAAAAATATCCTATCATTATCAATATCGATTTTAAATCAGCGTTTTATTATTTTTGACTTACGCGACCCAGGCGCRGATTCAGTATACGGGGTGGGTCCCCCCCCCCAGTAAGCTGTGTTTTGTTTAGAAAAAATGCCCAGTAAAAAGAATCAAAACTAATTTTAACACGTTGAGTGCCGTAGTCGACAATATTGTCAATTTATGTATAGGCATCTTTATGGCAATGTGGCCTTATAATATTTACTCGGTTATCAGAGCAATTCTTCTGAATCAATTTATCAATTGATTACAAAGTTGTATTTAACATAACTGTTCCGTGTAAGTTATTTTTGAACACATATATTATGCGCGCTCGCYCACATATARTATATTATTAGATATTTTATATTGTATGTGAAATATTCGCTCCCCTCCCCCCCCCATAATCTCGGGCTGGATCCGCCCCTGACACGGCCCCTGATGGTTGAAAAACGCTGTATTATACTATACATTATAATTCATAATATCTGGATTTTTAATGCAATAAATTATTATATCCCCCGATCATCGTGATGATATTATGTTATTTATTTACGCGTGCCTATAATATTATATGTTGACAGGCAAATCGACCCTACACCGGGCAGCACGATGACAGTCACCATGGAGGTGGGCGGTTGCGTAGGCACTCTGAACGAGGTACGATTCGCGGAACACGTGCAGTGCAAGATATCTTTGCGGTTCTTCCCGCGCGGCAACCTACGCATCGACCTCACCTCGCCGCTGGGCACCACGTCCACACTGCTATTCGAACGGCCCCGAGACGTGGTCAGCTCCAACTTCGACGACTGGCCGTTCCTGTCCGTGCACTACTGGGGCGAGAAGGTGGACGGCACGTGGACGATGACCGTGCACAATGGCGGCAACCGTCACGTCAACCAGCCCGGCATACTCAAGAAGTGGCAGCTGATATTCTACGGCACGGCCACCAACCCGATACGACTGCGGTCGGCGCACTCGCAACCGTCRCCGCCGTTCGCCATATCGCAGCAACAGCAACAACTGCAACTGCTGCAGCCGTCCAAGGCCTCCACCGCCGGTTTCCCGTTCTCCCAACTCGGCGGCGGAAACGGCAACGGACAAGTGTCCGGCACCCCGTCCATATACCACTCGAGCATCGCCGAAATATTGTCGCAGGCCGGTTTCCGGAACCTGCCCGACGTGTTCGCCGCCGCCGGAAGTGACATCGAGGTGAGATATTATTTTAYTATGTCCGTTTTTCTTATACGAATCCAAGACCTTACTAACGTCTTCGTGGAATCCTATTACATTATGGATAATCGTATTACAACTGTGATTTAAAGAAATTATGGTTATAATCTAACCTAACCTAATAGAACCAGTATTTACATATACGGGAGAGGATTTCTGATACTAAAAGGTCCATTTCCCAAGCACCCCAACTTTTATATGTCCAAATAAAGCTTGMATTCATGGAGTTGACACCGCCATCATGGCAACTAATGTATTTATACTGTATTTAAATTTTCAAATTATTGCAGGTTGTCGTTAAATTCAAACTTCCTTATAGTATCAAACTCTTTTCATATTTTAGCAACTCATTTTCAAATTTTGTAACCTCGGAATAACTCTGCAAGAATCGATCGTTGAAGGGGATGTTTGGCCCGGAATTTGAAAAGATTGTTAACTATTGTAATTTATTTATGAATGTATTATGGAACCTGCAGGAAAATGAACTTTTCCAAATCACGAAACCGTTCTACATGAATTTGTGTGACAGGTTATTGTTTCCCTGATAATTTGGATGCAATAGTTACCTACGCATACAAATGTCTCATATGTGTTTATTTTATTTAATGACGTGCCAAACTACCAATGTTCTGCCATACCTATATGTATTATAAATTAYATACGTGTTATGGKCATTCGATTAAACKGTGCAACATTATATTTTTTGTTTTAAAACCRTATTTTTAGCCATTTCGCTTCGTCCAAAATACATCTGAAAAGATGGCAGCTGTTTGCGCACATTTTAGAAATGTTATACCTTYAAATTTAATATTGTTTTCGCATATAAATTTAACTATAATGATAGCTCATTTTAAAATTTTACCTGAAATTAATAGAGCGCTAATGCACACAGATATCAAAAAATGCAACAATGCAACTTATGCATAAAAAAATATATTTCAAACCATCACTTGTTTTTAAATATATATACAGTAAGTTACACCAAAGTTTTCTTTAGACATCCGAAGGATAATATTTTCCAAAGCTACCATTATTATAAAATATTCTGTAAAATATAAGCACCCACAGTAAATTCTAATTTAAAAAAAATGTTCTTATGACTTGTGAAACTATTTATTCCTTCGTGGAACTTGTAAATAATATGGTTGACATATGCATTCTACTCCGACGCCCAATTCGCAGGAAATAATAAGCGATAGCTATAGATAATAGTGTCGTCGGACTGGGAGTGATCCAGATAAGTTTCCCCATTACACAACAACTTATAACACGCACTCACTCATGCTCATGTATGACCTTTTTAAAAATAAGTGACAACAATTTATCTAATATACAAAATTTGCTCAATTGGTTAACAGAACGTTAAAAACACAAAATTATTGGTCTTAAATTCAAAAAAAAACATTTAATAAATATCGTACGTAAGCTTAAATTTGTTTTTTTTTTGTTCTCTTGTGAAATTTATTAAAAAAGATACTCTTTAATATAAAACGCTCGTGAGTCGTGACATAAATAACAGACCTATATCGACTTTACGTCTTTACAGACGGACGGCACCGTTCTCGTGACGAATTTATTCGACAGCCACTCGGCCCGATCAATAATTTTTAAGACTATAAAGTTCTGCCGGAAGAAGAAATAATGTATTTACCGCATTGGAACAGTATTTAGTTTTCATAAATAGGTATAGTTTTCTGTTCTATATCGTGAAATGTTAAGACAACGGATTAATAAGTATTATACCTATACCTTATCATTCTGGTTAAGGGCGTAGTTATTATAAAGACTRAATGAGAAAGTAGATACCACAGAATCTTTATAATATATGTATTCCCAGCTACCACTCACTGCTGTAATTGAAAATTTAATATTTTATGTGTAAAAAACTAAAAAAAGTACCCACCCCCGCCGCCCGACAAAAAAAAAGAAAAAGACTAATTCCTAATTCTGCCACTGATTCTGGTTGAATATTTTTGTTAGTGGATTACCAATGTTTGTTCCAATTAATTAATTGAGCCATTATAATATGTTTACGAGTAGATATACAATATTGGTATAATATACGTTGTACCGTTGTACCTTCATAATGTTATTGTGATTATTATTTACCAGCGCTCGATGGCTAGTATCGAGTATGTTATTATATTATTCATTATAAAATTTAAATTGAATTAAAATGCGTTATGTAACTATGTAAACTACGTAAAGAATAATATTATAATATTTGTTAATATTTAATTATTATAATACGTTCAACTCGTTTCCCTCACTTTGACATCATTTTCGAAAAACAATTTGAAAAGTCAGGCGATCGGCGAACAAATAATGCTATTTCTTATTGGTTATACGTTAMACCTGCAGATAAAGATTCTTCTATATTAGCCACGCGGAACATTGGTTCAGGTTATTTCCTACCTCACCCCTGGGCCCACGTGAACATATAAACTTCCCTATTATATAAAACGTTGAAATAATTCTAAACCGCTCAAAAAATCTCATCTATCTATTCCTAACAGTTTCAGTCCACGTCCTCGCCCACATTCCCATTATGCAAACACGACGTGACGTAATATACTTCTATACTTCTCTTTAAGCTCGATGATCAATATTTTTTATGTTAACTACTATAGGCAKCAACTAAAAGTAGAATCGAAGAACCCTCCCACGGTAGATTAAATTACGTTTGATTCCTCATAGTTATTTTTCCTTTTTTTCTTTTTTTTGTAATTTATCTCATTGTGCGTAAGAAACTACAGAAACATTTACAAACATAATGAAAACCTAATTGTATTTTTTTTTTTTTTTATTCATACATTTTCGGTAAAATTTCACCGAAATTGTATTATTATAAGCTATAATTATATTTATATATGTTTTACACTATAAGCAGTATATAACGACTAATGCGGTACATGTTTTATATGTCAATGTTATATGAATGCAGACATCAGTGACGTCACTCACCAGCACGCGCTCAAACTCACAAACCACCCCCGCCGAAAGGCCGATTGATGGACAGACGATTTTGCACGATTGTGACCCCGAATGTGACGCTTTTGGCTGTTATGGCAAAGGTCCCACGCAGTGCGTCGGCTGTCGAAACTTTAAGCTCGACAAGTAAGAGATTAATATATTTATATTTTATGTTTCTGAATAGTTGTATTATTGTAATGTATAAAATAATAATATGATTGTTTTATATCATGTAAACCAGCACATGATGGGCGTTTTCTGTTTTGTAATAAATTAATAATTTTACCATCATATTTTGTCAGAATTAGCGTATCACTATTATATACCGACACGATAATATGACGTAACGTATGACAACGATATTATTACATGACGTTTAGTATTTGTGTGCTAATTCTGTATGGCAATAACGGTTATTTAACGACGTCAAATTATAATAAATAGGTACGTAGCAGCAGGTGCCTGCAATGATTATWACCGATTATCACTCGAGGAACCGTCGAAAATCAATAAGTATAATCATTGATCTCGCTTGCCGATGCGATGGTATTTTATCTCATGCGTAAGGATAAAATATTAAAATAATCTCAACGGTGTACACGTGTATACATTTCATGAATTCGGCCGTGGTAACCGATTTGTCGGGTAACACCGATGCTGTCATATAATCGAGTTATATACGTATATTATATTATGTATAGACGCCTGCGTTCTTGGATAATACACGGAGAGAAATTTAGTTCCTCAACACTTAGAAATAATTATTTATGATCATTGAGCTATAGTCATTTGGTTTCGACAAACGAATAAACAATATTGAATAAAAGCGAATTCAAATGGCGATAGAAATGTGCCTTATAAATTATTCTCATAATGAATCCATTGAAATCGCGTTGTTGTATCACACATTCACACTGTAAGTTGACCTCAGCATGCGCGTAGAACTAATTTTATTTGTTTAATACTCAGTCATTTATCGTGAATATAACATATTAAACTGATCATAAATCAAAGTATTAACCCAACCGTCTTTGTAAGTTATGTACCTATAGTTTTTATTAAAACGTATAAAGTTTCCTTTTAATATATATTATGTATATATTATATCTCTATGATGTAGTTATACCTACGTTTCCAGTTCAATATCAAGGAAAAAATGTTCATAATGTTTAGTCATCTTTTAAGGTTTATATTTTATGCAATTTCTTACAAACAAAAAGTAAACACATTTTTATACCGTATAAATACAAAATGCAAAAAAACCTTCTGAAATAGAAGTAAACTCGTAAACGCTAACATAATAAAACAGATGCGTTGGTTTTCTACTTATGTTTGTTGTACATATTATATACAGTTATACAGTGTTATGGAAATGTACTTTTGCCATGCAACCCCTGTGAAATAATAATAAACAAAATTCGATCATTGGCATTAAACAAAGTTAGATATGCGCTCCTAACGTCTATAATAAAATATGTATATTCAATGGTACAACGCACGCATACGCGATTTAAACTAAAATATTTTGAATGAAAAATAGAAGTATACACCTTCTATTTCTTAGTTGCAGGCCGTAGTGTAGTAAATGTTTTAAGCATTTGCAAAAAACAAACGCCACTATAGAATTAGAAAACTTTGAAAATGTTATGGTGTAACCTAATATTATATATATATTATATAAATATAAATATATAATGTGTAAATAAATGGATGAAAATGAAAAGTTGTGAGAGTATTTTAAAATAAAAAATATGTTATCTGAACAATTTTATAACTAAAATATAAATAAACTTTTAGAGAACTGTCAATCCCAAATTTAAAAAAAAAAAACAAAAAAACTTTTGATATAAAAAAAATCGAAAAAGTAAAATAAAAAAAATAATAAATAAATAACTAAGTAGAAAGTTTTAAATTTCATGCATTACCTTCACATTAAATGTTCTACATGGTCACCTCCCAAAGCTATGCAAAGTTGTATTAATGAACGTAACCGTGTTGGAACACTTACTGTGTTTCACGCACTCCGTATATTTGTGTTTTGCGACTTTCGTAATGCGATTTCTCAGTTGTTCAACCGTTGTTATCTCTACGGCAGAACTTTTCATTCGCAACTCGTCGTCTCTTAATTTATCCTGTTAGTTGCGTGCCTGCAATATATACGTAATGCACACATTGTTGAAATTTAAACATAGTGTAACCAAAATAAGTCCATGAAAAGGTTTATTCGTGGTCCTCAAACAAGTTTATGTTTCGATAACATATTGAAATATCCGTATATATTATTGTCTATTGCAGTATGTACAATAATAATAATATATTTATGCCATATTCCGTTTKAAACCAATTATTTTTGGTTACCACGCACCATTTTTATTTATATGTTATTTTTCTAAAAAAATATTTTACTCTCTATGTTGTGCATCTTTTCTTTGCGTCGTTATTAGACATCTTATATAGCACGTGAAATTCAATACATTTGTGGGCGTTTACATAGGGTTGAATGTAATATTCTTGGAATGTTTACTTTAAAGCAACAGCACGGACGTCATAACCATTATAAATGAAATATAATTTTTGCATCGCATTCTGTTATTATATTTTTCAAGAAGACGGTGTCTCTCTCGTCTGAAAATTTCTTTTGTCGTCAAATTCACTTTTAATACTCTTTGCTGAACATACATCGTATACTGTCTATTGGTCTCCACGATAAAATAACATTAATATAATGATTCCTATATGTATAGAATTCAAAGTATTTATTTGCCAATTATCTTTTTTTAAACTTACAGAGTAAAAAAAAATATGATATTGGTATTGTTATGCATTATATATTTATATCAAACTAATGGTATCCTGAGGTCAAAACGTTGTTTTCTTTTTTCTTTTTCTTTGTCAAATGACTTTAATATCTGAAAATTTTGATATCATGACTGGGGAATTGACCACATTTAAATTGCAAAATTGACAAACTACCCCTTAAACAACGCGAACTTGTTATTCATCAAATCGAAATATATATTTTTTAATCATATATTATATACTTTTTTTTTCGTTGTAACGCGCATTACATTGGCATTGCTTCTTAGCTACCCGTAGCACGGTACGTAMACATTTAATAATGTAATTTTTATTCATTTTTTATTTTAATATTATTCATTGAATTTCTGAGTATAATGAATGTCAATAAAAAATAATGTAATACAAAACAATATAAATAAATAGTTATCATACAACCCTTAAACTAATAATAAAATTGGTGTATTCTGCGAAATTATTATTACAAGTGTAATGTAATAAAGTTTACTCGCAACTTCTAGTGTAATTGAACTTAAAAACCTCGATTGGTTTTTAATTTATATTTTAAAATGTTCAGATTTTCTATAACAGATAAAAATTGATTTTTCCATAAAGTAAATTTACTAGTTAATTTACTTTAATATATTCAACTCTAGTTTGAAACATTCCCGTTGAATTGATTATAATTTATAACACATTTTAATATTACATTTTGCATAGTTCATAATTTTGTTTTGAATTTAATCAGTTATATTTARGTTGATAAATGCATATTAGTAACACAACTCAAAACTTAATTTTCCTTCACTCATCATTTATTTATTATAAACATGTAATTGTATCAACAGTTAAATAAAATATCAATTAGAAATATACTTTCAATGCTTAAAATTTAAGTCTTCCAACCGTAAAATGCTGTCCAGATTATATTCAAACTTTATTTCTAATATGAGCATCGTGATGAACTCAAAAACTGAATAAAATTACGTATGAGCCATTTTACGACTTAAAAATTCTAAATTAATCAAAACGTATTGATAATGAAGTAATTTATTGATAGGTTCTTTACAACTACTTATTCGTAAATTAATTTCCAAAATTAAAACTTATTCGAAATAAATTCTAACACATTCCATTTTTCACGCTCTCCTTTTGATATATTACGTTTGCCTAAAATTTAAAACTAACATAAACACTTAAATTTATAAAACAAATCGAGTATTGATTATTTACCACATGACGTATGTTTTTCCCGAACACGGACAGCCTCATTGCTTTTATAGATTTTGAGTAGAGCGTGGGCGCTATTTACAATGGATGATGTATTTCTTTTTCTCGCCGTCCTTTCACATAGAAAAACATTTTTGGAACAATAAAAATAATTCAAAACTTTCTTTTGATTGGATATTGAATATAATATATTGAACTCTTTAGTTAAGAGACTAATGTTTAGATTTTCCTGGTAATTTAAAATAACGCATTCCAATATATGCTGGAATTTATTGCCCGYCTGACACCTATTTTTAAGAAAWTCTCAACAATTTTTTGGTTCCAAACTATTAAGAAACGTTTTATATATTTGATCRTTTATCATATTTCTTTCAAATACATCAATACACCCGTCCCAGACACTCATTCATATGCGTATCATCCCTATACCAAACTTAATCAAGAACGGAAACGGTGTTTTCCTCGTTTAAAAGATTGTCTATTAAAAAATATTTATTATTTTAATTTTCACCGGTACCTCTATCCAACGTAATCAATGTTTACGATTACATTTTTTCATTTATTTTCAGCACTTGTGTCAGTCGTTGTCCACCCCGCAGTTTCCCGAACAAGGGCGGTGTGTGCTGGCCATGTCACGAGTCGTGCGAGACCTGTGCTGGAGCCGGACAAGACAGCTGTTTGACATGCGCTCCCGCTCACCTGAGRGTTACCGATTTGGCCGTTTGCTTACAACAATGCCCGGACGGATACTTTGAAAGTAATTATTTTCTATATATCTCAGCATCGTTTAACTGAACAATAATATAAAATATTCGACCTATGTTTCCTATTTATTAACCCGTCTCGTTCTTTGTACACTTATAGATACGGAAGAAGGCACTTGTGTCGCTTGCGGTCCAAACTGTGGAAGTTGTGAAGGTCGTCCCGACCATTGTACTAGTTGTGAACATCACTTGGTACTCCACGATAATCAGTGTTACGCAAGCTGCCCAGTCAACACATACGAGACAAACGATTACCGGTAAGGAAACAACACTGTAACTACTCCTCAACTCAGTTTTGTAAAGTATTAATTGTGTATTCAAATGTTAAAATATTTTCATTATTAAGTAGTTAAATCGTATTATAAATACCATTATTATTGATATCGTCAAAATTATAAAGATAGTTCTATAGAATTATAAATTATTTATGTATATAGAAACGGATGACAAATAAACATACTTCGAACAAATTATGTCACCAAAGTATAACAATATTACTTCTTGAAGCAAATATTATAAATTTATTTAATATATTATTATGTAAATGTATAAATACATTCTTATTTTTTTTTTTAAGGATATTAGGTATAGATTCTGAAATATTTGTGTCAAACAAAACACAATTGTATCATTAACTAATTTAAATACTTAAAAATAAACTATTTTTAATTATTTTTAACAACACTGCTTCCCAATTTCATTATATTTATTTTCAGATCGATGGTCGATCCSTTAAATTGTCATACTATTAATTATAAATAATTTTTTCCTGTCATTTATCCTTTATTTTCTATAAATGACACCACTATGATTTTATTCAATGAGTGAGTGATTGAATTTAATTTTCATATATCTATGTGCTGTCATATTATACATGTAATAAATTACAAAACTGCTTTCATGATTAAGTGTGTTTGAAAATTATTCCAGATGTGGCTCATGCGATGCTAAATGCGAGTCGTGTACCGGACCAAATGCTGACCAGTGTATAACTTGCAAGTCAGGTTATTTCGAACTCAAAGGCACATGTCATTCGAAATGCCCAGATTTCTATTATCCGCACCATAAACGTCACGAATGTCTGGACTGTCCTGTGGGCTGCGTCACTTGCAATTTAACCGAATGCCACTCATGCGACCAGGGTTACACGTTGAACAAGAAGGGCCGATGCTTAAAAAATGGCAGTCAACAATGTCAATCAGGTGAGAAAACAGCAATGCATGTTTCGTTTGCCACAATGGGTTTCACAAGCGCCATTCCGCTTAGCAAATGATCAACCCACGATCGTAATTCGTTAAAAGACAGCAATTTATATTTTCAATCACTGAAGCAGGCCAGTTCTGGACTGGAACACAGTGCCAGTCGTGTCACGGGTCATGTGAAACTTGCAGTGACTTCTCCAACGAAAACTGTTTGTCTTGTCGTTCGCCGACCATGTTCCAGTCTCCGGGATCGTGCGTGGAACAATGTTCACCCGGGTTCTACCCGGACTTGCGATTTGGCAACTACGCTACTTGCCAACCGTGTCCGCATCCTTGCATCGAATGTGTGTCGCGCACCAACTGCACAATGTGTCACTCGCCTTTRTTACTGCAAACCGGGCAATGTCGTACGACGTGTGCCCCAGGGTATGTATATTGTATATTATAACATTTATAATAGGTATATATAATTCTTACAAGGTGATCCAGAACTGTGGTGCTGATATTGAAAGTCAGTATTGTTTTTGATTTAAAAAAAATACAGTTTGAATTTTTAAGACTCTTACTTAAGYTACGTTTTTATCATATTMATTTKTAGATAATTATTTTAATATTTCCTTAATAATATCCAATATTTTTAGTACGAATAAATCAAATATTAAATAAATAGCTTTTATGGTTGTAATTGTTGACCAAGAATAATATAATAGTGTAGCATTGAAGTGAGTGTGGCCAGTTAAATGGGCCACCCTGCTTTGATTTATGTTAGCAATTTTTAATTTTACACGAATTTAAACAATTCCGCTTTTGTGACGGACAGAACATGATCATTTTTTACCATTAATTGTTTAATATCTTAAATAACGAGTGGGCTTACAATAATGTGTTTGTAGGTATTATAGTGACGTGGGCTCTTGTGCCAAATGTTATCTGAGTTGTATGACATGCAGTGGACCCCGCCGGGACCAGTGTGTTAGTTGTCCACGTGGATGGCAGTTGGCCGCCGGCGAATGTCATCCCGAATGTCCACAAGGTTTTTTCATGTCTGATTTCGGTTGCCAGAAATGCCACCACTATTGCAAGACTTGCAAGGGTAAGTTCAACGTTTGAAATCATCTCCGCCGGCCACTCGTCTCGTATATTATAATTAATAATTATTATTTATAATTATTGTATTCTAYAGTGAACTATCTGCAGCTCGAACCTATTTCAGTATTAATTGAATAAATTGAGAGATAAAAATGTGATCTTGAAATTTACTTTACATTATTTTTCGTGTTATGGTCCCTTCTTCGAAATATCAAATACAATTATAATAGGCTTTGCGATAAATCAATCATTATTTTTCTATAATAACACTCCTATAATAATTATATTTGCCCTAATTTACTAGAAAAATGTAACTGATTTCAAAAAAAAAAAAATTAATTAATGAAAAAAATGTGAAATGCTAAGCCACGAAGTGCCTTTATTGCTGACACCACCCTCCTCTCACCTGCAATTGTAAATGAAAATAATCAAACCTCAATTCAAAAAAAAACTAGATATTTTTAGTTTCTAAATAAAGTGATGAGTGTTTTGATTCTATAATGTGTGTGTGTTTTTTTTTTGTATTCGTATTACATAATAATTAATCAAAATCGTGGTTTTAATAATGATGGTGGTGTATATACTATATARTGGCAAATTTTATGTATTTGGTATATTCAAGTGGTTAAACTTTAAAATTCCCTGCAGTAGCTTTCAAAGCGTCAGGAAATACAAACAACTTTTTAAAAAAGCAAAAATTTTACACAAAACCAGTTTTGATGAATAAATTTTGTTTTTTTAGTGTAATACTTGATTTTTTATACTTAATGTTTAAATTATCACTTTCTATTCATCTTACAATTTTCAAAATAATTTGACTCTTAATACTTACATTTTACATACAAATCGTTTTCTATTTTTATTAATTTTTATTTAATTGTTGTCGATATACAATTTTTCACTCGGTCAAAAATCTTGAATATTTAGTACAAGGTTTCTCGAAAGAATTTATAAGTGTAATCCAACAAAAAAATTTGAGCGTAAGTTCACAATAGTTTCTTATTAGCGTTTGAGGTTATGACCAAATTCGTATAACACAAAAATTTTCATTTTACATGAAGTAGAAATTCATAAAAAATGTCTTTTAATAGCTAAGATTTGAAAATTTTATAAAAGATTGATCATAAGTTTATTTTTCATATCTTAAATAAAAATTATTCTGAAAGTCAAATTAACTTTTTATGAGCCTTTGAAGTTTAAATTATTTCGACATGGAAAATGTCCGTAAACTAATGATTTATAATGAAATGATTTTCTTATTTACTTTTAATTCAAAAAGTAATAACCGTAAATAGTTTAAATTTCCACAAAATATTTATATTTGCTTTTTAATACATTGTATAATTTCAAAAATATTTCTTCTTTGCACTTTTTATAGAGCGTTTCAATTTTTAATTATTAAGTTTCTTTTCTACTAATACATGTAAAAAAAGATTGAAAGTTTAATACGAGATTCCTCGTAAGTTTTTTAATAATGATTATTAAAGATATTAAAGATATTAAAGATATTATTAAAAATATTAAAGATACAAGTCACGATAAATTTCAAATTTTGATCAGACTAATCTAAATCACGAAAATTTTCAAATTATTTTACAGTTAGAAAAACATTAAAATTTCAATTGTTATACCTAAGGCACAAATCACAGCATTGAATAATAATATAGTACTTGGGTATTATTTTTATTTTTACGTTATACATATTTATAATATCATTATTTATTATTAGCTATCATTGAAATTATAACAATGACAATAAAAACCGTGAAAATGTTATTTAAAAAAATATTTTTTGTAAATTGATTGCCTATTTCGTGTAAGTTGTTGATTCCAACACTAAATAAGTATAGATAAACGTTTATAATATTAGGTTATAACTATAGGTACAACAGGTATATTGCTAAATTATAAATTATAGTAAATCAATGTAATAGTAATACAATTTAACAATTTGGTTATTATATTTAGATAGTGTATTATCACACATTTTTTAATTTCGTTGGTACTGCACACTTAACATTTCATACAGTACAAAATGCGTAGGTRCATGTTTTAATCCCCGACACACGGATAACTTCAACATTTTTACAATTTTAATTTTGTATTTTTAAGTTATCGATGATAACATAAGTGTTCACAATACTGAATATATTTTATTTTGGTTTTGTCTTTTACAGGTGAAGGCCCGTTGCAGTGTACGTCGTGTCCACCGCACTTTATGCTCGAGGACGGCCTGTGCTCAGAGTGCTCGGGATCACAGTACTACGACCCACCCACGCAACTGTGCAAGCCGTGCCATCCGTCGTGCCGCGCTTGCAACGGACCTGGCCCGTTTAGCTGTTCGGCCTGCATGTTCCCGCTGCACCTTGACCGGAAGAACACTCAGTGCGTGTCGTGTTGTGGACCGCGTCCGCATGACGACTGCTGTAGCTGCAACTCGGAAACCGGCGAGTGTCACAACTTGACGCCGGCCGAAAAACGTCGGACATCGGTGGACAACGAACTGGACAACTTGGCCGTGGCASAGTCTGTCCGTCGCGATTCTGTCGTTCAACCGTTCAGCATTAAGGCCGACGCCTCTTTATTCGGTTACTTGGCCTTGGCCATGTTTGTTTCCGGCTTGATAGTGTTGTCCGTAGTAATGGTGAGTATCATATTAAATAATAATGTTTCCGGCTGCAGTGGTGTCCACCTAAACGTTCGTAATTCGGTACAGGTGCACGACTAAAATTAATATCTRACTTTTATTCCCCGCCCGTACCCCCTTTTAACGTGAATCATAATGCTCTATGATCGTTTTTAAATCTAAACCAAGATCTCAAAAATTTCAGTCGGTGCACACCTCTACATGAGGTGTTTTGTGAGTGGTACAATTTTTGAATTGCAAAAACACATTCTGCAGAATGTTCATAGTATAATTTTCTTTTTCTTTTCTTTGAGAGTGGGGTAACTTTGGTCTTGGTATTATCGATAACCAAGCATGTACCTGTGGATCGGTGTGCATAATGGCGGCACAAGTTCGCCCTAGGGAAAAGAAGTTTGCGTAGCTTACCAACCAGAGAGAAAGACCCAGATTGGTTTGTAGGTACCCTTTCGCTGTTTTAAAACGCTGCAATAAACAAAAATTAAATTAGGTAAACAGTTTATTAACTCAAGGGTCGCGAGAAACCGATTCATCAACCTCGTACCCTCCTCAACAGCTCTTTACGAAAAAATTATTTTCTATTTTATTTATCTTCTCGTCGTGGTCATACCCCCCCCCCCTTAGAAATACCTTTTTTTTTCAAACGATTACTTTATTCGTTTGAGTTAAGCTACCAATGCCGTCGCCAGGATATGCAACGAATTTTTTATCCAGTCACTGACCACTGTCAGAGACTATATTTATATTTTATTATTATTACATATAAAGGCGACCAGGGCATACGCAGAATGATTGCTGTCTGGCTTGGGTTTAGGAATAACAAATTTAATATTTTTTGATTTTTAAAAATCAATCATCGTGTCGTTGACGTTTGATGAACGCTTCGGATAGTGTGTTCATAATCATTGATAACGTTAATATTATTTCTGTCTATAATGTAGGTGAAACGAAAGCAAAGAAAACACTCGGGTTACGTGAAGTTATTGCGGCCACATGGTGACATGCACTTGGAAGACAACGACAGCAGCACTGCACTGTTCGCCGAAACGTGACYGGCTCAGTCGACACTACCATCGATTCGACAACAACACGCCAATCCACTCGGCGTCTGTCCGGCTGCAACATCAGTGTAATCCGGATGAAGAATGTATATTTTAGAACACACGAAACAAAAAAACACGAGAAACAAGCAACAAACAAAAAAAATTATGATGATGAYGAAGATAATATTATTATTATTATTGTTATCGTTATTATTATTATTATTATTAGCGTAATGCGTCTCCTCGCTATTGGTGTTGATCACTGTCTATCATAGCCAAACCTCATATATACATATTATAATAGCCAAGTGTTCTCCAACGGCTACTATCTATCGTCCTTCTTCTACTCTACCACTTACCACTATTCTTAATTTGATCTTTACTGAATTTCAATATTGACGATATCGTATTAAAACATTATTGTATTATTGTTATTTGGTCGCTTGTTAAAAGCACAAACAATTCATTACAATAGTGTTGATAATTTTAGTTTTGGCAAGAGTTCCTTTTCTAATGTAATTGTCTCAAATCATATTTCTTTTACATTCCATTTTTTTTTACTTTATTTACCTTAAATTCGATGCTCTCTTTTCAAAGCAGAACAAATTACAAATTCAAACGTGAATATATTATTTTATTACACATATTTTTTACATAAAATACATGCCAACTCGAGTCAAGTGCATCAAAACTTTTTGTTGTAGTATTGCCTCGCAAGTTTTAGATTACCTACCTCTAAGTTAATTTTTAAAGTTATAAGTTATGATCAATTGGCAGAATATAAATAAATTTAAGTTAAACTAATTGAATAATTCATATTATAATATGTAAACTATAATAGACATTTGTTTGCCGCACACGGTATTATTTTATGTTTGTTTTAATTACCCTATCGTTATATCTCATAATAACTATTTACCTAAAATGTGTCAAAGATAAAATCACCATGTGTTTTATTTAAGTATCATTGTTTTTATTTGTTAGTTTAATATTGTTATTATAAATTGTATTACATCAAATCACAACGGATTAATTATTATTATTATTATTTCATGAAATTAATAATGAAAAAATATAGAAATATTGCAAGTTGCCATGGTGATAAATATATTATATAATTTTCTGTTGCTACTTCTGTCGATATGTGATCAAAAAAGAATAAAGAAAATTAAGAGCTAACTAAAAATGTAATGCTTAACCGTTAATATTTGTGTAAATAAGTACCCTATTAAATTATGTAGAATATTCCAAGTTTATTATTATTATTACTATTATTTTTATCCCCCATAGAAGTTATGTACTACTTAATGCAAAAATAATTTATGTGTTGTGTTGGTTCTTTACAATTAGGTATATTATAAAATAGAACAATATTATTATTACCATTTATTTATAATCTATACTCTACATACCTAGGTAACATATATTTAGCTTATATACCGTTTATGTACCTGCATATCGACGAACATTGTTATTGTGTACTCGTCTGTTTTCTACTTATTTTAAACATAAAATATTATGTCAAATTGTTATCATGATAAAAATGTCAGTAAAATACTCTTAATTATGAATCTTATATATTATGTATAATGTATATTTATTCCATATTATGGAAACTAAAAGCGTACACATCATTTGCGAACACTGTTCATAATGTCTGTGATTCAGATTGTAATATGTAAATATAATTTTTTTTTTTTTTTTGTTATGTTCCAATAAATTATACCATTATTGTAAGATTATATAAATATAAATTCAATTATCAAAAAAGTATTTGTTTACAAACAATGTAGGATAATAAACTTAGTATATATTATATTTTATATATATTGTACAACTGTTATATCCTGGTGGAGGGTAGTAACAACTAAACAGTGAATAAACAAATTATCCTGACAAAGTATTAAACATTAATGATGAATGATTCAATGTAAAATTAGAAGATTTAAACTTTGTTTCAGTTTTCAAATTGTTTTCATACAATATTTACCATATAAAAAATGTATACATTATATGTATTTTAACATCAATATGAGTCAAATTTTTTTTAAATGTTAAATCTCTTTAATGAAACAGACCTAGTGGCTAATACTTAGTATAGGATATTATATAYTTATACAAACCAAGACCTTWAAGGCTCTACTTAAACTACTAATGTTTTGAAACAATTCCAACTTTTGTRCCTTAGAGCACAAGCTTAAAGTTTTGTTAATAAAATAATAGAACTTCTATGTAATGGTCTATATAAGATATTATTATAACCCATGGTTTTCTACAAAAAGTTATTACTCAAATTTTTAAAAATTATGATTATTATTGTTAAAATATAATGTGGAAATGTATTTCTATTTTTTAAGTCCTGTTGGTTGATATTGGTTTAAATAATTTGATTCATTCAAAAAACAATTTTAAGGGAAATTTACATTGAATACCTAACAAATAAATATGGGWTCAAAAGAATTAATTGCACTTAATAATACCATTAATAATAATAATACATTTAAAAAATTATAATACACTTTTAATATCATTTAATTATAGCAAAAGTTTTTAAAGATATTTTTACTTATCAWCAAAAACATGTTCATTGTGACAATTATTTATTGTCTTTTTTAGTTTTCACCATATAAGTTGTAAGTTGGTCCAGTGAAACCTCTCAATAGTGAACCCTTCCTAATAGTGGACGCTTAATACATTCTCCGGCAAGAATGTATGCACTTAATAGGAGTTATAACCTGAATAATGGACAAAGACACTAAAGACTGATACCAAAATGAAGAATCACATCTCATTAATTGAGACAATCCATGTACATATTATTGCAAGTAGCAGAAAAAATGTATACAAAAAAAGATAACAGATATTTGTAATTGTACATAAACATTATACATTTGTATACCCACTTTTAAATACATACATATTGTGTATATAATAAATAATAAATTAATATGYAGCAATTCCAATGTATGTAAATGTACCTATAATCAATTTTCTATAGAGTCTCTCTATTATAGTGGATGTTTARTAATTTCTCACATATGTCCATTTTGTAGAGGTTTCAATAGTGGACCACTCCCTATAGTGGACATTTTTTAATTTCCCATGGCTGTCAGTGGATAAACAAATTCATTGATCCATTCCGCATCAAATGTGTGATAGAAACACGAGGTCATAACCATCGGTGCTAATGGAGTATCCAATCTTGTATAGATCTCCTATTCAATTATTCATACGATAATACCCCAAACAAGACCAGATTGTGTCTCTACATGTATCTCACCAAATGTTTAACATTAATTTAATCACCTTGTCCCTATTTTACTTATGATACCTACATACAKTGGCGGACTGAAGGGGTCAAGTTTGACGCAGTTGCGTTAACTTTTTAAAGGGGGCKGTACCACCCTGTGCAAGTGGCGTCGAATTACATGCTAACTTTTTATAAGTAAATAATGTAGGTGTACAACATTTACTGTATACTAGACGTACTATCTATATTCTATGTACTAGACTTTTACAGCGTATTTAGTTTTGATTAAGGGGAGGGGGGGTGGTATATATTTGAATATGAAATTACGTTGTCATTTAAAATTAAAGTTCAGTCCGCCCCTGCCTACATAGTATACATGGCAAAATGTAATGGACAGGTGGAAAATATAATTTATATATATTATAATAGTATAATTTAAAATAATACACAACTAAGAATGCTATTTTAAGAAAATGATTAGTTTTTTTTTTTATTTATTTGAAGATAGTATAATAATTCCGTCGACAAAGGCCACTCAATAGAGCGAAGTATCGCCGCTCCCCGCCTGCAGTCATTTATATTTTATGCACGTGACGACCCGACCCGCCAATTTTCAGCACCTATTTTAATATTACAAATATGTTCATTTTGTTGGCTCCGAATTTATTGATTTCGGCATAAACTAAAATGTACAGGTACTTGTTATTTTGTTACACCACCAATAACTACTATTGACTAATGAGGTATCGGAATAAACATTACAAAATCTGTAGACTCCGAATGCATAAAAATATGTTGCACCTACCAATAATGTTAGGTATTAAACGCCATTATATGAATAGAGATTGTACGTTGGTTTTAAATCCTCGGTGTGTAATAATATAATATCCTATGATACTCCTTACTGTAATAAATTGCTGTTTGTGGATTTTGAAATAAATTATGCGACCTGGTATAGTGGCGGGGAAAACATTCCGGGATTAGCATCGGTCGCATATAGTGGAAAAAATCCATCATCTGTTTTATTTGCGTTTTATTGAAAATATGGAACTCCAAAATTATATTTCTGTTTGACGAACACTTGATAGTTAACATATTTAGTTTACTAGGTACAACCGGTTCAAATATTAAAACAATTATAATAGTRTAACGCAAAATTATTATATTATATAATTAAATAATTTATAGGTAAGTAAAGAAACCATATAGATGACATACGTACCATTTTACCTTGTTATTTTACTCTATTACTCTACAGTATGATCACGATTTAAGGTAACACTAAATATGTCAGGTGGATGAACTTGTATTGCAATTGGGCTTTCGTGAGTCGTGAGGTGATAGGGAGTACTTAAACACATATTTTCAAATAAATTTCAATTTTAACACTATTGGTATGCGCGTGCGCAAAACAACTTACATTTTTTTWAATGGAAACACWATTTTTTTCTACATACCTATTCAGATAGAATTTTTTTTTAAACATTTTTTGTAGGTATTGAAAGTTTTTTTCTTTTTACAATATTGACCAAGTTAGAGTAATTCAAAATTTGGATTTATGCATAATACATGTTTAAAGCAATTTTCATTTATAACCACTAGAAATAATAMCATAAGTGCCAAATAAATGTTTAATTTACTTTATCTGTTTACAAATAATAATTTATTAATACTGTTGGTGACTACAATGAGTATCTTGAGTACGTGATGATGTTTATGTACTTTTGATACAAAAAATTAAAAAAAAAATTAATCTATCTGAATATTATGTAGAAAAAATAGTGTTTCCATTTTAAAAAAAATGTAAGTTATTTTGCGCATGCGCAAACCAAAAGTGTTAAAAATTCGAAATTTATCTGAAAATATATGTTTAAGTACTCCCTATCACCTCCCGAGAACCCAATTACAATAGAAGGTSATCCACCTGACGTGCTTCACGCGTTTAGGCGAATGATTTTTAAACATTGTAATGCGTTTGGCGACCATTTTTTTATTATTTATTTTGAATACCCTGTGATGCTGTATTTTATCAATCCATTTTCCCTCTGATTTTGACAGACTTGGGACTGTCCGTGAATTCCACGGGTATGATTAAAAATGGATTGTTTATTTATGTGTGAGGTGTATAATTAAAATTGAAAAAATATATTTGTTTTTTGTTTTATCTTATAATCATTACAATTTTATCTTTTATATTGGTCGCACCGTCCGCACTGCACGTCAATCACTTGTTTAATAATATTGAGTCYTCATCAGTACTACGTTGAACCACGGCCTTCGCTCACTAATTATGTCCAATCTAAATATAAATGATAAACAAAATACGAAAAATGATAATCCCGATCACAAAATTCAGGAATAAAAAAAATATATTGTCTCACCCAAACACATTATAAGAAACTCGGTTAACTCGCCCAAACACATTACTTTTATTATAAGTACGGGTAAAAAGGCAATTCGCCCAAACGCAAACCGCCCCCACCTGACATTTTTAATGTTATCTTAAATCGTGATCACACTATATAGTTATTTTAAATAAATAGGTTTGGTGAGAACATTAAAATTTTTAGAAGTATTAGTATCTACACAGAAAGAAAAATCTAGGTAAAATTAAAAATAATAAAAATTAAATCAACAAAATCATTGTTGACACAGGGCCAACAGACGCGTTGGTTGATTTCAACATTTACATATTGTTAATTRCTGTATATGATATAAATGTATTATACGTACAAGTCTGAATTTTACGAGGTACAACCTTCATTTATTGGTCATTAGGGAACTCGAAAAAAATTTAAAAAACCACAAATTCACCACTCTCTAAAAAAGTGGAGGGTAAAAGTCTTTGTCTATTATGCAAAAAGATCTTTTCTGATTTATTTTAAATATATACCTATAGGGCCAGGTATTCCAAAAGTCTGCAATAACAGATAGTTTAAGAAAATATATTTAGAATCAGTAGCGGCCTAGAGTGTGACCTGTAAATGTAAATTCATCATAATCTCAAATCAAAATGCTATTTTGCTCATTATTATTAGGTACAACGGTTTTAGTTATATAGGTCGATCGGAGATATCGAAATCCACATTTTGACGYCTTCCGAGATGGTTCCTGGTCACTGGTCAAAGCTGGTGTTATGACATTCTTATACCACCCAACCATTTCTAATTTTGACCTAGCAACATAATAAAAATTTTGTTCACTATCTATAGGAAGGCGGCGAATTACCTTTATTATTTTATATAATTATTGCACTTAAGCTACTACTGGTTTTTTGCAATTTATTTTTTGAAACCTAGGTAAAATAATGTCTTTCAAGTTATGGTGCCCAGAAGAATTTTAGCAAATCATTAATTTTGTAGAATTATAACCATATGAAGTGTCGATTTTACGATACTAAAATACTTAAGGAAGTATAATTTATAGATGTTTTGAAACGATTTAGACATGATGCACCAGGAAATACACAGTATAGCATAACTTCGAGAGAAGGGTGGGTTGATTTGGGAATTTTTAAGTTATACCCTGCTTTGATGTTTACAATTTAATAAAAACAACATATTTTTATTTTTTTATGTGGTGTTGGGGGTTAAATATTTTACCCCACAAACATTACAGAATTACCCCACTGGAAACACGACAAATGAGTCATCACAGGCATTGGCGGAAATCGGGGTGGGGGTCTTGAGGGGCTAAGCACCCCAAAAAAAAAAAAACAACCTTCTTGCAAACATAACAATTTTGTAGTTTCATTTCATATATATTATATTCTTAAAAAACAAGAAATATATAACACATAATAATTTTKTATACTATAAATTTGTTTGTATAATATTTTATACGAAAATTTTTTTTTTTTGTTTTATTCAATCTGTTTGAAAGGAGAACAATAAGAATAATTGATTATAGAAGCTAAGATAAAAATAAAAATAAAAATAATATATACAATGGTATATGTAGATTTTGCGGATTGAGAGGCCCCCCAGTGGAGGTACTACAACATGAAAGATTATACGAAAATTAAAATTATAAGTTGGAACACTCACAACTCTGTCTTATAGTTATTTGTTTTATCGTCCGTCGAATAAAACAAAGTATTTAAATTATATTAATTTGGAAAAACCAATACTGCCGACAAGCTAAAATCCAAAACAAATATTCTTGCGCAGTTTCTACTCATTGTATGGCCCACCGTGTTAATTTGGTTGTTGTCGACATGTGCAAATTTGTGAAAGTAAGTGTAAAAGAAGTTTTTTAAAATTTAGTAAAATAGAATTATAATTTAATATGTTACATATTTGTAATTATTATTTAAGGAAACTAGATGTCTATTAATACATTAGATTCACTAAACAATGTGATTCACAGGAAAATATGATGGTCAAAATATACCAACATTTTTAAATCGTCCATTTACCTATATTAAATAAAAATTTGATTCTTTTAATTAGAATATCGATTAAAAAACAAAATCAAATTACTAAATAAGCCAACCTATTGAAATGAGTGTAAAATAAAAAATATCTCCCGAATGAGTTTATTATTAATACTATTATTTTTAYTAYTACACRGGTTTCAACTCGACAAGGCGAAAGCACGATGATAATATTATCGTATTATAAAATATGTTAATATAATAATGTAATTACTTGCGTATTGTTATTTGTTATTATGATATAATGGCGGTTCGAGACGATCGTGCCGCGGCGACGCGCTTTGCAGTCCGTATCGATTTCCGTGGTTCGGAAGCCTCGCGAGGGTGGCACAGCTGACTGGTATGAGTGCCGTCACGAGATAACGCGCGTCGCCGTCAGCTGCGTGTGCCCGTCGTGCTGCTCTGCACTCTGCTTGGCGTCCGACGCTGAGCCGCGCCGCCTTGAGCMGTCGTCTCGTCGTCGYTGTTGTTGCTGTCGTATCGTTTCKCGGCCGTGCAGATAATGACGGCTTCACCACCGCCGTCAGTGCAGCGGCAGGCCGTAACCGTGGCCACTGCGATTGCGGCTTTCCGACTGTCGCTAATGATGTTACTGCTGCTGGACGTCGGCACCGCRTCCGCGTCCATATGCAAATCCGGACTGTGCACCCGCGAACAGTACTGCTGCGGCGACGGCAAGTGCTGTGACAACGTGTACAGCCTSTGGTACTTGTGGTGAGTGACAGCTGACGTACAGTACACGTCCCGTCAACTAGATTTTTTTCGGTACATAAATGTCCGCGCATACATTTTTCACAATACCATTGCCGGTGAAATTTTTTTTCGATTTTTGTTTCTTACACTTTTCTGCTCGAGCCAATACATAAACTCAGATGATACATATTTAGTCGATAGGTACARTTATGTACAATCGTCGTCACTATATATAGTAAAGTATCTTTAAGTGAACAATTTATGTCCGACAGTTTTTCGTGTCTGCATCCATAAAATCAAATTTTCCACTGACCAAAGTGCATCATTCATAATTTCACGTTGACACGCTATAAAAAGATTTAAGGACGATTGACTGCGATTTTCTATTACTGATATTATATATCTTCTTGTTATAAATATTTTATCCCTCTGCAGCGGAGGTGTAGCTGTTATGCTCTTCGTCGTCGGTTCATTTTGTCCGGTCATCAGACAGTGCTGTTGTTTCCGGACCCCAGTGATCGTCAAGTATGTCCCCGTGCCCACGTCACCTACTAAATTCGTAAGTATAATATAGTAATATGTGTATAATACGATGGGAGCTAGCTACCTTAACATGTGTTAGGTAAACAATATATCAGGCAGTTGCGTAGCTACACCATGGCTTAGCGAACTGTGCACCCCTCCTCGAATTTTCAGGGAAACTGACAACATTCACTTTATGCCTAAAATATAACAGCTTTGTGGAAATTAACGAGAAAGCCTTTAAAGCGTTTATTATATTKGTAGGCTTTATAATATTTGGCTATTTCAGATTTTTTAAGAAACACGAAAACAAACTTTATACTTTTTTTTAAACTTTGACCGAGTTAAATCGGTATGATTTGAGTGCCAAAGATAAAATAAACAAATATATTAATATCTGTATTGCATAGTGCCAAGATGAACATTATATTTTTGTATAATATTTTGATAACTTTACTAGTGCCTGCTACCTATAAATCGTCAATAATTAATATAATATCAACTTGTATGAGTATTGTAAACAAATAATACATTGTTGTTTATTAGGGTTGTATAATTTTAAGGGGACAAGTCCAAAATGTTGTTTTAAATCGATATTAGACATTTCATTTTTACGTTCGAGACATAAAAATCTATAATTCGACTTTTAATAATTTTGAGACCCCTATACACCCACCTCCCATGGGAGGTAACTGCAGTTACTGTGTTGGGAAGTTCCCGTAAGCAATGTGAAAACAGCTGACCTAGCGATTAAGAAAAAAAAGTTACTTGCAATGGCACCTGCAGGGATTTTGATGCATTTATTTATCTATATATGACACTATATTTAACTCCCTCTTAATTTTTGASGTTTGTGTGACCAACAATCAACACACACCAGCCTCGATAGACCGGTTTAAGTTGTTCTGTGTAATCTGGCGGGCTATTATATCCTATATGAAACGAAATGCGTTTTCTGCACGACCCGTTAGATGCTGAGAATATATTGTGATGATTTCCGCTGGTTACTATCTTTTGCAACTTTGCAAAGTGCCTGCATGGTGGTGTACATTTTATCAAAATATTATATTATACATTAGGTAATTTAAACCCGCCGAAATGAATAATTCGTAATATTTTTGTATTGTTCCTGCTTAAGAAATATTCTGATCGTGAAAAATGCACCAGAGTGGATGTGACGCTGCCCATGCCGCCTCAAGCCACCACGTTGGACGTCACAAACTGCATATAACTACATAGCACTACTAAACACAGTATCTACTATCTACACATATTATAACATAATAATAATATCAATACTATTGTTATTCGCCGATAACCGCTGTKTAGATGACGTGGTCATGTGGATCCCACATGTCGTCCCATGACGACAACCACCATCGTCACCGGTGAGAATTCACATTTTAAGCCGTCATAGCGTGCATCGGCATTGAACATTGACAATGTAATATAAATATTAATGATAATATATACACATACATATATATATATATATTACACACCTGTGTAATATGTGTAAATGTAGCGTAGAAGTTAGAACGCGTCTATTCTCTAAGTCCTAAATGAAAAAAAGTGTCCATCGAACATTTTTCTTTAACTATTCTATTAGGTATCTATTCTAAATAGCATAATTTACGACTGACGCAAATTATTATTATATACTTCTATAAATACCTCCATGGCTACTTAAGCCCCATTTATGGAACGACACTAAAAAATACCTAAACCAGTCAATATCTTCGTATGCTGGGTAAGTACATATAAATTGTGACACCGCCGCTATATCTCTCTAATGAGCATTTTCAAACTCTACAGTAGACTTATTTTCTGGTCGTCTATATTTATTTATTATAATATGATCTTTGAACTTTGAATATACTGAGTAAATAGTATACGTTAAAATTTCGATGGTTGTCCTCAGTTGTTTCACTCACCTTGTATCTGATATAATACTTTACTTTTAGGTACTGCATTTAAGTACTATATAATACTAAAATATATAACTAAAATACTAAATCGGTTCATTATTGGTTCAATAATTGAATTCACGTGCACCAAAGTTCATTAAACATTTTTTCTTCTTCGGGATAAGAAATAAACAAGTACCCATTTCAAATAGTTTAATATAAAAATAGTAAAAAGTTACATTAGTTTCACGAAAATTTGAAAAGTAATGCTTTACGCGTGTCTTTAAGTTAAAAAAAAAAACCATCAAAATAGATTCTATACATTCAGATAGATATACATGTTACGGATAAATAATACATTCCTTAGTCAAAATACTGTGTCAAAAAATAGTTACAATTCAAGGGTGGGCGTAAAAAATAATTGCAGTAAGTATATGTGACATATTCTATTCCTACTTTTTTTTCAAACTTTTCACACCTTTATCCATGTTACATGGTGTCATGCATCACGCATTCAAATATAATGATATCGCCTTTATCAACGCATGTATTTCCGAAAATTATGGTTCAAATGACTTAATACTGTGACACGTGCTGACAATACCACCCGATTACAACTATACAACTATAACAATAACCCTTTAATTTCCGTTTTTTTTTTTCATTTCAATTTCCATAATTCGTATAAATTATTACCGAACAAATATAATATAAATAGATATACGTARTATATACGCCCATGACATAATAAATTGCCACCTATATATAATAATATTAGGTATATCTCCGTCCAATTGTATAACTACATTACTACATTATTATCTTGTATATATTACAAACGCACTCACACATACATTCACAACTACATCAAGTCTTATAAGTTACATTATATACATAGTGTCCCACGTCCCTCGTCCCACRAGGATTTACCCGTTGCAATTTCTCCCGAAATAATGGAGATATCGAAAYTCTGGTCTTGTAATAAAAATCACAGGGATGAAAACTACAATTATTTCATATTTTAATGTTTTGGTAGAAATGTTTAAAAAAAAAAAATTTAATTATTTCCAAAAAAAATTACCATAACAATTTTGTAGTTTATTTTTCTGAAAATATTTACGTTTTAAAATTGTATTTTCGTTAATTATATAAAATTATAATCATATTTTATTTCTTCAAAACTAGAAAAAATATTAAAAATCAAGAAATTAATAAAAATAACATTGCTAAACGTTTTTAAATTTTTTACCAAAACATTAAAATAAATTAAAAAATGAAACAATTGTGATTCTTATCCCTGTAAGTCTTATTACAAAACCAGCATTTTGATATCTCCTGCATTATTTCATGAGATATCGCAATGTGTAAATCCTCGCGGGACACCCTGTATTCCATAAACTGAGTGATTCACCGAGCATACTTAGTTACCATCATTTTTAATTTAGGATGATAATTTATCTAAACTCTAATTTTTAGAATTTGTAAGTATAGATACTTATATAAGAATCCACCACATAATGTTTTCAATTTTATAGATTTTTATCCCATCTAAGAGCCTTTCCAACACATACTTTTCAAACGAGAATCACCCATTCTTCTTYGAAGTGTTAGGAACTTTTTTWAAAATGTTGATGTACCTAAAAAAAACATTCAACCCGTCATTTTTGAGTTATTCTTTGTCTACTAATAATTTTAGGTACATAAGAATTACTTATAATTTAATAATAGTTATAGTGAATAGTGATATTGGTATTAAAGCACGTCATGCTGTTGAAAATTCTCTAGCTGAGGGTTCTCCTTTTTTCTCCTTTCTCCTTAGGCCCGACCCWACGGGCATCCTTGAATCTATGACGATTTTATAATTTTAGTACCTACCTAATCAATATTAGTTTGTAAGCATTTTATGATTTTTAAATATTTTTTTACTATATTAATTATTAATAATACTAGATCCAATAGGTCATATATCTTTTTTTAAGGACTTCTAACCTTAGTCTACACATTTTAATTAATTAGGAAACTATATGAATTTTGATTTAGATATAATTTTCAGTCAAAAAAATTGGTTTTTATTTGAAAATAAGGGATTTGTATCATCACGCAGGACATTCCTTAATTTTTGATTTGGTTCTTAAATACTTATTCTTAAAAATGTCCGAAAAAACAGAATTTCATTAATTTATTAGGTACCTATTAAAGAAAAAATATTATTTGATAATGCTCGTTGAATCACTTTGTGTACATTAATTATATATTATTTTTGCTGCTTAACGTGTTTGACGTTTTGCATAGATATGTACCTCTGACTTTCTAATTTCTAAATACCTACTACTCGAAAATAGTATATAGTATCGTAAGAAGTGTTTTAGCATAAGTTACCCTACAACCTATTTATGAAATGACGACATTTGATTCGACAGCAGGCGGCAATATATTATCGATTATTAACATATGCTATATAGTATATATACAATACACATATTATATTGTTATGTAGTGGGTCAGTCACGAACATTTAAATATAGGTATTGTATTTAAATTGCATAATATTGCACAACAAAGTGATACCTACGATGCGCTTCGATCMATTTTCTAAATACTTCCAAAGAGGCCGTTAATATTGCTGCATCTAGGGTCGAAATTCAGAGTTTGGGAAGGCTGTATATTGTATAATAGTTCTAACAAATAATTAATGCATTTAGTTTAATAATAATCTATAAATTATATACACAAAGAATMGTGTCAAGCCTTTAAAACTGTAAAAAAAAAATTATTGAGAGGGTGAAACAATTTCTGGCATAAGATATAATCTATTAGTATATTTATTTATGCATCTAAAGAATATGAACCTAAATACTTGAAGTTTTTCCGCTATAAYTAAAAGGGTTTACAATAATTTGTCAATTTTCGGTGTGTTTTGTGGAAATAACTATAATAATTAACAATTTAGTGTTAACATTTGTATCAATCAACTTTTGTATAATATGGCCTTCTTTGTGAAAATAATACAATTTTTTAAATGGAATTAATGTATTAAACAATCATTTTAACATAGTTAGCGAGATAGACTAAGGAGTAATAGAGGTCTCTCCCATACTGTCATATAATTAACTAAGCATTTAAATGTCATGGTTATGTTTCTTAAATTCTTTGTGTCAAAATACCAATGTCATTTTCAACCTCATATATTGCTTTTGTGTTTGAGTTTGACATGTTAAGAATGAAGTAGGAATTTAATTACCTTTTAAGGGTTATGTTAAATTACATAAATATAAGTTCAATATGAAAAGTATCAGTATTAAAAGTTAAAATATTATATGGCTGAATTATTTCGTGAAAGATATATTTTTTAATGTAATTGTAAGACTTAATTAATGGTTTATATAAATCATATATGATACAATAACTGTTACCTATATATACTAGTTTAAGAGTGCAAATAAACATTTTGTTTGCCAAGAATAAAATGTTGTTGACTATTATGTATTCTGTTTGTCAGTATTTAATAAAAAAATATTACTTATGTGAATGTTTAATTTATTGTTATATTATCCTATCCATATTGTAATACAGAGAATTGTGAAACATTACACAATTGGTTTGATGAATTTAATTTTAAATACAAAATATTTTTTTAAAGATATTTTTACTAAAATCTTTTATTGTAATTGTATGCTTGAATGTACTTAATTTTTATAATATTTTCTTTAAAAAAATATATTCTCCTCTAATTCTGAAATTATCATTATTTTAAGATTAAATTAAATAAACAACAAATTCATAAACTCTAATAAGTTTATCTTTTATTTTTAATGAGACCTTAATACTATTATTATWATTATATTTCTACCAATAAAAACTCTATATGGCTCTATCTTCGAAGACTTCCCTGTTGACAATCTGGAGAGACGATTTGTCCTCAAAGAAACAGAAGAGACATTCAGGGTCTTCTACAAAAAAGCGTAGGAGATCCTGACTCCAAGAGAAACCTTAAGAAACCAAAGAAAGACCTCGCGGGGCAACAGATTGCTGGATACTAAGTCAAGCACAGGCTCGAGAAGACTTATGTTGAATTAAATAAACATTATATATTAGCATTTTTGTGAGGAGATAAGGCAGCACATTCCATATCTATCACCATGCTATCAGTCAATGTAATTGATTTCCAGCTCTTGTGATTTTTGTAAGTTGCATATATTTTTTTTTACATGGGGTAAAGTCCTGTGAAAAGTTTTGCTCCCATGCAGTGGTATCACATGCAAAAAAAGGTCTGTATTTAAGTTTTAGGTTTTAAGTTTCAACCAAAACACTAATCATTAGTTTTCGTATAACAGTTAATCTGACAGTGCTTTTATTTTCCTGTTCAAAAACTGTTCCATTGTTCGTCTGTTCGATAGTGCCTAATACATTCATTGTGTCATATTTAATACAAAAATAATAACAAATTGTCATTAGTGTAATTCTAAGTAAATTTTTAGGTGAATAATATTAATCAATTTTAAAATGATATTATATATATATTATTTTTAATAATACATAAATATATGTTATAATGTATAATTGTATCATAGTAGGAATAAATTAATAGATATAGCACTCAATAAGTATGAGGATCTTAAGGCAGATATTCTATTGAATTTTCAATTAATTTGCTTTGTTCCTAAACAAGAAGCGAATAGTTTTTGATACTCCAAATAAGTTCATGGCCTAAATCAAAATAAAAACATTAAAATGTCATTGTGTTTAATAAAATGTATATTAGAAATAAATAATAACTATAATGGTGATAATTAATTAGTATTCAAACTGAATATTAAAAAAATATTAAATAAGTAAAGATTTTGAGAAACTGATATAGTTTAAATCACATGAAACTAATTCTTGGAAATTAAAACATTGGGCGGTCATTGTTTCTGCCATTTCCGTCAAATCTATTTCTWCTTATATTCTTGAGATGGATTTTGAGAACCCCTAGTTTATYTGCAATACTGTTGATCAATGGTGTATGACGGGATTTGGGATAAACCATTTATATTGATAATATAATTGAGTTTATGAATAGTAACGCCTACCTATTATAAATAAATATAAACAAATTCTGTGTTTTTAAGATCAGAATTGTTTCATGCACATTTTAATGAGTAATTTTATAAATCACATCTACACATTAATACATTTTTTTAAATTTTAGTCTCGTATGTTTAAAACAATGTATACATTCAAATTAAACATTAAAAAAGGTATGCAACAATTATTCAAAAAAATACAAGTAATAAATTTACTAAGAAAATTAAGTCAAACATTTTTTTGGGGGTCAATGAGAAACTCATCTTCGTTTAAATGGTTCTCAAACTATAATTTAAATACAGGTAGSTAGAAATAAATTTGGCAGAAATAAAAGTCGAAACTTATTCGGATTGGCAGAAATGAAATCAAGAAAACGCCACATAAATATTGTTTTAAAATAATAGCCAATTAAACAAGATTTTTAATTGCACCATGGAATAGAAAAGAAATAGGTTTTTGATTTTGCTATTTTAGAATATGAATTAAATTTTTGAAAAGATGGATTTTTCAAAAATATTTAGAATACYCATTAAAATTCCAAAAGATATACATAATTGAAAATATGTAAAATGTTAAACAAGCAAAATAAAATGCAATACATTTTACTGTATAATCTTGAATCAGATTACTTTCAAAGAGAACTGATAAATAATATATTATAATTACACCTACTTCTAATAYATTTTTGTTGAAAGGTGACGAATGATGTTCCCATTTCATAAGTTCATTAACTCTTAGTGGTGCTTCAGATTTGTTGTCATTACATTCAAATGCACTATCATCACTAAGAACTACACCTTTTCCACCACAATTACATTCCAATAAATCATGAGTTGAGCACAAAACATCTTTTTTGAAATTAAATAAATCCTATAACATAAAATGTTAATATTAGAGTTAAGTAAAATGTTGAAAAAGTTCAAGCATACTTTTAATTGATCAAATGACAGTTTTGTATTATTTTGATTATCTGGATTTGTAATGGCTTCACTTAATCCTGTTTTACTAATCTGTCTTTGAAATATCTTTTCTTCTATTGTACCACTTGTTAGTAGCCTATAAATGTGAACATTTTTTTTCTGACCGTCTCTCCAAATTCTAGCCATAGCTTGTTGGTCAGAAGCTGGATTCCAATCAGAGTCATATAAAATTAAATTTGATGCACCAACAAGATTCAAACCTACACCACCTGCTTTTGCGCTTAATAAAAGAACACCTAAACATAAATTCATAACTTATCATAAAAATAATTTACATGTTTGATTGTAAAAATTGTTAAGTACTGTAATCAGAGTTTGAATCATTAAATTTTTTAACTATATCTGTTCGTTGAGCAGTAGCAGTAGATCCATCAAGTCTCAAATATTTATAATGTTTCATATCACATAACTTTACAAATACATCTAAAGTCTGAGTATAATATGATATCAAAACTGTTTTTTCAGATCCATTTTTATGCAACTCTTTTAATATGTTGTCAACAACTGTAAGTTTCCCTGAACTTTCTATTAATGACTGTTTTAAAGTAATAGTGCCATTCAAATGTTGACTTAAGGTCTCCTAAGAAAATATTTATTTAACATTACTTATGATTTAAAATATATAATAGGTCAATACTCAATACTATGTAACTATAACATAAATTTTTTCATACTTCAGTAGTATCGGAGTTATTTTGGTTGTTCAGTATTAACTCTGGATGATTGCAAATTTTCTTTAACAAAGTAATAACACTAAAGTGTGAAATAGTACTCAAACCAAATTCTTGTACACGATTTTCCCAGTATGAAACAGTTTCTTCATATAAACGGGACTAAAATATTATTTATATTAAACAAATTTCAAATTTCGAATTTCAAATGTTATTACCTGAATAGAAGCCATTGCACAAAATACTACAGATTCATATTTAGAAGGCAAATATTTGTTGTTAACATCTTGAGTCCTTCTTAAAATAAATTTTTCTGTTACTTCATTAAGTTCTGAAGCTTTTTGTTTTCCCAGAGAAATTATTTGTGGATGGCATTCCGGTTGTTGAGATTCAACAATTTTATCCTCAAACTCACGTTTAAACATCGAATAAGTTCCCAATATTCCAGGRTTCACAAAGTCTATAAGTGCATAAAACTCAGCAAGCTCATTTTGAATTGGTGTACCAGTCAATAAAACTCTTCGTTTACATTCTATCTTTGTTAATGCTATATAAGTATTAGTACTGTTATTTTTTAATCGATGGCCTTCATCACAAACCATCAAATCAAAAGTTAGTTTTTCAATTTCTTCAATATAACGTACTAACATTTCATATGAAGTTATCATTACAGGATAGCTCCGAGCAGGTAATCTAGCAAACTCTGACGGTTTTTTTTTCTATGATTAAAAAAAAAACAAAACAATCAAAAAATCTAGTCATTTAGGTATAAAAATKTATGAAATAACTTACTTGATCTACAGAAAACAGCCTTAGTCTATCTCTTCCTAACCACCTAGTAAATTCATTTTCCCAATTTCCTACAAGACTACTAGGAGCAACTATCAATACTCTTTTAGCCAATGGAATACCTCCATATGGTCCTCGCTTCAGTAACATCCTACATTAAAATATGTAGAATCATGTGTAAAATAAAAATTGTAGTCAAACTAAAATACATATTTACATACCAAACCAAACAAATAGTCTGTAATGTCTTGCCAAGGCCCATTTCGTCAGCCAAAATAGCACCAAAATATTCTTGATCTTTAAATCCAGAAACACATTCATATAAAAAAACTATGCCACTTTTTTGATGAGGTCTTAGGTGTTTTGCCAAAAAAGGTTCAAGCACAACTGAAGTGATTTCTTCTTCTTTTTTGTTGAAGAAAGACTTTATATATTTAATAAATAAATAACACAATGAAYATACAATAATTATTTTATTTTAGCTTAATTACTTGATGATCAATATCAGGTTCAGGCATGATGAGTGCGTCAGGAGAACAAACATCTGCTACTAATATCTTTGGTCGTTTACGGGGAGGTCCTATGCGTGAAGTAACACTTGATTTTTCAATCATTGCAATATCACATTCTGTAACTAAATCTAATACTTGGACTTGCTTATTACCAACAACAATAATTGAACCATCTTCTAAATTTAATGATTTTAAGTCACTGGTAGTTCCTAATTTGTGACCATCTAAATCCTAAAATGATACATAAAATAAAATAAGAAAACTATATCAAAATCAAAATGTTATATATATTTAGAACTAATTATTACATGGAGAGCTGCAAATTTATCAGTTACAATTAAGTACCCATCGCCTTCCCAAGTTTTGTGCTTCTTTTTTGTTTGTTTGCCCCAAGTAACGTTATATCTAAAACAAAAAATGAGATAAATAACATAATATTTGATTAGTCTACAAGGAATACTAACTTTTTATTTCCTAAAGTATTTGATGATAGAGTAACATTCTCTTTAACTTCTTGTTGGTCTTCAATTTTTGATACATCTATATTAGGCTTAATTATCGTTTTATGAACTACAGGCTTAAGAATTTTTGTTGGTATATTTTGAGGAAGTTGCAAAGGTGTAACACAATTCTTGATGATATGACTAGCAGGCTGGACTGCACTAGAAACATTTTTTATTGTTGTACTATCGCATGTCTTAATCAGTGCAAGAATTTCAGATGGTGTTCTTATGACTTTCACTCCTTTTTCTAAAATTCAAATAGATTAAGATTCAAAAAAAAACACACAATAAGTAGTAAAACACAAAAAAAATGTTTAATTCAATTTCCTATAGATATATGATGTATCCTAACTTATAATTGATTACAATATGTTTATGTAGGTACTTATAATAAATATTTTCAAAACAAATAAAAGTACCTAATAGGTACACGGAAAATTTATCTGCACTTGGCTTGAAAAAAAAATGATATAGTATAGACTAAATGTTACTGTAGTCTGTAGATATAGATAAATATTAAATATATATGTATTAATAGGTATTCTGGAATTCTGAAGATATCCATAAATATGTAAATGTACCTAGCCGCAATAGTACCTAGGTCCCTATCTATAATTTCAATATTTTTTTATTTTTAATAGTAGAACAGCATCAAAAAAATTACATTTAAATTAAATTAAACAGACTAATAATGATTCATTATTCATATTAATATCYCGAAATTTGTTTAAAYAAATATCAAATTAATTGTATCAACAGAAGTTTGAAAATATTAAAATAAAATAAATATAAAGCATTAATCTTGGCATTGATAGTATATGAAAAAAACAAATATTAAAAATAAAACTTACCAATATCCTCTTTAGKAACAAGTGGAAACTGTTGAGATGGTGCACGACTTCTTCTCATGATAATTGAAAATAAATAGATTATTTGTGTTTATTTTATATACTGTCAGACAGCATAGAAATGATTTACAACAGGAATAGATAAGTTATACTTTTATAATTTATTAATTAATGTTTTTTTATTTGGAAGTGTGCACGTGTATACAGAAATTCAGTRTTCAGATCACACTATACTGTCTCTACTCTCTATATAGTCACCAGTGTCCAGTGACTGTGGTCTGTGTTAAATTTCGAACTTTCATAGACCGTTATCACTTATCAGCTTAGTAGATAATATAATCAGAAAAATGTCAAGAAATTTAGCACTTACCGGCTACCGCCWAAATATTTAATTGATTCATATTTTTATTTATTTATACAACATCAACGGGCCAAAGCATGATATTTTATCATGGGCCAAAAGCACTTTAACAAAGAAAGAAAAACATTACATATAAATTAGCACAATATGAACACTAACAGACAAGTGATAATAATAAAAATACTTTAACAAGGTTAAGTTTTAGCTTAAAAAACTTGACGAGACAAAACAAAAAAATCCAAAATKATGGAGATTCTATTTGCGTTAAAAATGGCTCTTGAAAAACATGAATGTTTTCCGCTATTTTAATTAAAATTAAGTATACGGAACAAAACACAATTTCGAGTATACCCACTAGCTAGGGATTCTAAATCAAATGAGATTTAAAATAGCTAGGAAGTTTAAATTATTACCTACTTACAATACCATAGACAAATATTATGTATACTAAATCACATCTGATGTTAAGAGAGTCAATACCTATAGATTCTTGAACCAAAAAGAAAGAGTCTCTGGAGATGGTACGATGAGTAATAAAGGCAACTCTTTTCAGAAATTTATACTGAATATTATTAAGCACATTTGATTGGATTTAAGTATTTGGAGATTAAATACTACAGTCTGTAATGTGTATTTATAATATATAATCATTTCTAATTTTATTTTTCCTTCTTGAAATACATTTGCACGTGGGCACCTATGCTTCCCTACTCAT